TTTTTTTTTAGCAATCCGCTAGGCAAGCGCCTAGGGCTATTTTTTTATTAATAAAAAAAAGAACAGAAAATACAACAATTAGGAACAGTACAAATAAGGGGGACAATATCACCGGTATTGTTACCTATATGTCTTGGCTATATAATCACTCCTCTGCGCCTCACATTGCGTTATGATGGCAGCCTCATGTAGAGGATTCATGGTGTAGCTGCCGGCAAAGTCTCACGAAGGCATATAATCTCATAGCCGTGTGGATATTTTTTCAAAGGCATAGGATCAAGGCAACCCAAACCGGGCTAAACCTTACCTTACTAATCCTATTGAGGCAATGAAAAGGAGATTTGATTTAGGAGTGTTGATTAGCATGATTTCACGAGATTTGATCATATTTAGGAGATTTGAATTTATTTGCTTTGCTTTGATAGCTAGATTGATTGTATAGATTTGTTTTATTTCCTTAATTAGCGTTAGGAGCTTTGTATAAATTCCCTTGCTCATGGGATGTAAACACATACACAAATATAAGAAGCCTTTTCTTTTCAAAATCTACACATTCCTTACTTTTTGGGGTTTTAGTAGTGCAAGATTATGGGCGCTACTAAGCCTTTCTTAACTTTTTCAGAAGACCAATTGATTCGAGTGGAGCTTTTGCCAGATAACCCCAGCAATGCGGAAAGAGAAAACGGCAGAACACTAAAAGATCATCCTCCACAATCGCCCAATTATCATTTCTTGCAGCTCATCAGATCATTGGGTTAAGCACGGTTCAATTAGCTTAAGTACTCCAGGAACTAGTGATAAGGTGGTATATTGTCAGAGGTGTAAGCAAAAACTCTGAACTCCAAAAGCACAACTATATACATGCACTTACAAAACAACATAGGATCATGTAATGAAGTCACTGTAAGAGTCCTAATTATCAGAGGTTCCCACCTGAGCTTTGGTTCATTGGTAAGAGCACAACGAGTAATATGTGGGTTAGGCGCATGTCATGAGCTCCAAAGTTTCGCAGACATAAAGCCTAGTATTTAAGTGGAGAAAAGTAGAGAGGCAGGCCCATTATCCACCGAGTGTTGAACCGTGCACTGGCTGACCCCGGGGATTTCTCGATTATCGAAAAAAAGAGTCCAAGCTATTAGAGCTATTGCACCAAATAACTTCCTATTTCAATATGAGGCATCTCATTTTCAGGGAAAAAACTACTCTTAACTGAAAATTGCATAATGCAGACAAAGAACCGTTTGAATAGCAAAATAGCTGGAAGATGACATTCAACTTTAAGTGTCCTAGTTTCCAGGAAAGACAAAACTCTAAATTGACAAATGCATATAGACAAGCTAAAAAGATAATAGGTTAATGACTGACTCTTCGCTTCTGGAATTCCTTGGGACAATTATTAAGGGAGTATCGAGTGAAAGGTCCAGCTTTATTGCAGAGGCTCCATCAACCTCATATTTTTGAATCAACCATTCAATCCCTCCCACTTTATCAACGAGTTTAATAGCTTCCTCAGTATGGGGAGTGGCAAGCTCCATGAAGTACGCAGTAATCTGCAGAATAAAAAAGGTATGAATCTCTCAGTTCCTATAACAATCCAAAATTTTCATGCAGACATACATACCGCAAAGTATCCCTCCGATTGACGAAACAAAACCTAGTATAATATAGAGAGGAAAAACCTAACAACTCTTATCATCTATCAGACATCCACTTGGAAGGTCCAGCAATGCATGATGTCTGATTCTGCTATCATTCATAATGTTCTGACTTAGAAAACTTAAGGAACAAAAAACTGATCTAGCGCTTTCCAGGTCCATGTGGAAGTGCATGTTCACCTCCAAAAAAAAATGATTACGTTCTTTTTGTATTGTACTGAACGAAATCATACCACAGAGTTGACAGTGAGAATACCCACTAGTTATAACTAGAGCAACGCATCAAGAAATGCTAAGTCAAAAACAAGGCAAATGGAAAGAGCAAGTTTTATATGTTAAAGAAATAAAACGCTTACCTCTTGAACAAACCTATAAAGGAAAACTATACGAACTGCTGAAAGTCGACCCCGCAAGCTGTAGTCATATCCTTCATAATCGTCATCTTCTGTACTATGAGACTTGAATACAAACTGATGCAAAGGAGAAATCATCTTAGTACAAAGAAATCGAAATATCTGTTACAACAACATACCCAGTGTAGTCCCACAAGTGGGGTTAAAGAAATTAAAACAGGTAGCTACGACAGAACCCCAATTAATCGCATATTCCATATGTGTGTGTGTAAGAAAATATGAGAGAAATTGGACAGCTGACTCCCATCCATAAAAAGGTGGCGGCTTGAAAATTCTGTTCAGAGAAATAACTGAATACCTGAATGAGTGATTCAGCCCCTTGATTACGAATATCACATAGCCAACCCCATCGCTGGTCGGAACCAAGTGTTAGATCACATAGCCTGAAGTTTCCAAGGGTACCTTCTATGGAAGTAGAACTTGGATGAACCTTGTCAGATATAAAAGTAAAATATCAGGACAAAAAACATAAAGGCATAAATTCTAAAACTGTGATCATATGGGTGGGAATCCAACAAGAATATGTCTGAATGGCCAATCAAAATTCAAAAGAGAGAAAAAGCAATATGAATTTAGCATCATGCAAGGGTCCCACCTTAATATCCAGCAGAAAACTTTCTTGCACAAACATAGCAAGCTGAGAACCATCCTCCTTATTGAGGAACACTGTAACACTGTCAACATTCATGTTTAGAATAAACACAACACGGTCTTTTCCACGACCAAGCAACCCTTTGACATGTGTATGGCCGTATTCTTCTGTTTTCTCTTTGTTCACTAAAGATTCATCTGGATCTTTCGGGAGATCTTCACTATTTAACATGTTATTTCCTGAACTCAGATCAAAGCCAAAATCGATCAAAGCAACAAGAGTAGGTCTGTTGCAAAAGAATTCCAGCTTGGACATACTAACACTCATCTGAAATTTTTCAAAGGGAAAAGCAATAGGTAAGTGAATCTCTCCAGCTTTTACTCCTTCAAGAAAGCTATATTCAAGTCAAGTATGCTACCTGCGTATCTATGCCATCATAATCAGGAGAATCAGGAGTCCTTGTTATAAATGTTAGAGACACAAAATCAGAGTCATCAGACCCCAATGCCTCATAGAAAATATCACCAAGAACACTTCTTCCCCTCAATAGCTCCTTCTCAGGGGTAGTAGCTTCAGCAGAATCTGTAAAGGCTAAGAAATCTGGCAAGGCATCCTTGAAAATATCATCCTCTTCTATTACCATCAAAGGTAGCTCTTTCCCATGAGGTTCCAAGGGGTCAGGACAGCTGGCAGCACCATGATCCATCAAAACAGAGCAAGCCAGATATTGGTGACCCGAACATAAAGAACGTTGAAGTTCATCATTAATTTTCAAGGAGTGCAGTTTCATCTTTACTGTCAAGTCACCTTCAGAATGCAATACACGCACCTGGTAAAGAATATAACTCCATTTAATGTTTAATTTTTAAGACAACAATGCATAGTAGCTGATGAATTTCAGTTTAACTATCACTAATTAAAGCTAAATTGTGACAGCATTTGAAACTAAATTGTTAACAGTGTTCTTGATTCCACATGCATTTAACAATCTGTACATAGAAAAGGGTTATCGTCTACATGAACATGAGTAAAGTTCACAATACTAAAATCCCTCCTGACTGCATAACCTGCAGAATATGGTCTGTCAGACATGCAAGAACCAAGAGATATTGCAGTTACATGGCAAGCCCTTGTTCCCTTTAAATTCTTCAGTAAGTTCCATGCCGAGATACAAATTTGAAATTTATAAAGAAGACTAATACTGAATATAACAATATGCAGAAATGTTTACAAAATTATCCTTCATAGCTTTACAAAATAAAAGGCTTAGATGTGAGCTTGTTGGCATTAGATAATCAAACTTGTAACTTCTCCTCATGATGCTTATCCTATAGCATGAACAGAATACCACGTTGATATTTCAAGATCAGAACATCATTTCAATCTACAAGGTTGAGAATATTTCGCAGTTCATTGAATTCACTAACAGGATCTCAAATCTGCAAAACCTTTTACCAGCCCTTCCTTTCCTATCAATATTCAATATTACGGTAATTCAATTGACAACCAAAGTCATATATCAACAATTTTCCTATAACTTCTTGTCCAAATACAAGGAAGCAAGCATTCAGTCAAACAGCTGAAATACAAATCTCGTACAAATGTATGAAAAAGCACAGTAAGGAGATTATGAACACACAGATTTGACTATTACTAGGTATTTGGTAACATCTTTATATAAAGATTAATTAGACACATATCCATACGAAGTTCTGAGTGCGTGCATCTGTAGGCATATCCACAAAATGCGTCTCTCTCTTACTATGTACGTGTTAGAAGCTATGTAAATAAGTATAGTCCCACGTGGAATAGGACTAGAGTATGTATTGTGTATAGTTATAAATAGGGCTCATAGTATATAGTTAACACCTCAATAATATATATTTTTACCTCATTTCTCTCATGGTATCAGAGCCACCGTGAAAGATTCGTCACTATGCAAAAATACCAGCGATTCCGGGAAGAAAAAATCAATTAATCGAAAAAAATTTATCTGTCGATGTTGTGCAAAAGCCAACATCACCACGAGGCAGATCAGCTTCCAGCGACCAACCCGTAAAAATTTCTCGGGCAGAACCC